GTTCACTCCCTGCAAACGCTATCTGTGCTTTCTTCACAATATAGCTAACTCTTACATCTTCACACCACCAACATCACTGGCCCCCCTGATTAAAGCCAGCATCTTTTCTCGCCTGGATTGTTGTACTAGTCTTCCAGCCAATGCCCCTAACTCTCCTGGCCCTACTATCCTTTATTTTCCATGCCATAACCAATTTTGTTAAAATGCAAGTCAGATTCCCTACTTTTCCATTCAAATCTCTCTAGTGACTTCCTGTTTCCCTTTGACAAAAACACAAAATTGCAAATATTGCATGTGTTCAATACATACTCATTGAATCCATAAAAGGATGCATGTTAATTGAGTGCTTATTAATCATCAGAAACTGAGCCAGATGTTTCTTTATAAGGGTACAAAGATAAATAACCTTCTTTCCTCTCTGGCAGTTTATATTCTAGAATATGAGATGAACTCATAGATGAATACATACAAAAACAATGTTATTTTTTCCTGGTTAAAGTCCGAATAAAGATAGTTAGGCTCAGACATTGGAATGGCCAGATTTACCTGGGTGGGGAAAGAGGGCAAGCGAGAGGGAATTCTTGAGTATTACAAAACGGCAGAGATTCCAGCATGATGAGGAATGTGTAGGGGCGTTCTGGGGCAGGAGAACCACATGAGCAAAGGCGCGAGGTGTGGATTCATCTCCGAGGAGCAGGGAGTGTTTCAATGAGGGTGGGAACCTAGAAAATGGGAAGCGGCATAGAGGCCAAAGGTTAGGAAGAAAGGTTAAACTAAAAGTTTTCAACTTAAGTGCCTTCATTTGCATTGATTGACTTTACTGTTTTATCTTCTATGCAGTGGGGAGTCATTGAGGTTTTAAAGATGATGGAAACTGGATTCAATGTATGTCACAGACAGGTCACACTAGAAGCAATGGGAAGAATCCATTCGAGTTTTCAAAGTCAATCAATAAATAGTAAGAGCTAACATTTACTGAATGCTTACTATCTATTAATACCAAGCTCTGTGCTGAGTCCTTTACTTTTATTACATTTAATTCCCAGGTCAACCTGTGTGATTGGTACTGTGATTTTCCCCCTTTAGAGATGGACATATTAAGGCAGAGAAATTTTAAGCCCAAAGTCATACCATAAGTAAAGAACCAAAATAGAAACCCAAAGAATCTGACTTTAGAAAAGGGAGAGGAAAAGAAATATATCAAAGAGATAAAAGCTCCAGAATATAGTTACCAGATGTAAGTGGTAAGGACCTAAAATGCCCCCTAGATTTAGCTTGGACAACTTAATGGATGGAAGTGTCTTCCTAGTATAGCAAATGGGACAAATTTAGAAAGAAAGCTTACAAGATGTTTTGAATGTGTTTGTTTTTGTATGATTGTGGGAAATCTGGAAAGCAGATGGGCACATGGATTTGAATCTCAGGTGAGGGTTGGAGTTTGAGATGCAGACTTGGAAATCACCAAACAGGGGAGGAGAAGTCATGGAGTAAACAAGATCAAACACTGATAGAAAAGTGTTAGGGTTGAATCGTGTCCTCCCTTAAAGATGTTGAAGTCCTAACCTCATATCTGTGAATGTGACCTTATTTTGGAAATAGAATAAGATCTTTGTCATGATCAAGTTAAGATGAGATCATTGGGGTAACTCCTAATCAATATGACTGTGTGGTTATATAAAGAAGAAATTTAGATGCAGAAACAGACACACATACAGGGAGAATGCCCTGTGAAGAAGAAGACAGAGATTGGGATGATGCCTCTACAAGTGGAGGAATGCCAAAGATTACTAGCAAACCACCAGAAACTACCGCAGGGCAGCATGGAACAGGAACTTGCTTACAGGCTTCAGAAGGAACGAACTCTGATGACACCCTGACCTCAGACTTCCAGTCTTCAGAACTGGGAGATAATACATTTCTGTGGTTTAAACCATAGTCTGTGACACTTTGTTAAAGCAGCTCTAGGAAACTAATACAAACAAGTTGCATATGCATGGAGTATTCAAGGATGATTGGTGATGATCGAAAGGAGACTATTTATTCAAAAATGTGCCTGGCAGTCAGAGAATCGGGAAAGGCTATTACAAGGCTATTCCAAGCATGAGCTTGTGAACAGCCATGGAGGTAGAAGAAAGGAAACACCAGCAGTTTGCACTGACCTCATCACAAACTGCCACCATGGAGCGGTGGGAGAAAGAGATCTGCCCATGAAAGTCCCTATAAAATGCACGATAGCAAGTTTCACCTTAGAATTCATACAGAGCAGCCAAAGGTTCAAGGCACATGTATGCATATGTAACAAACCTGCACGGCCCCGGTGTGTGATGTTCCCCTTCCCGTGTCCAGGTGATCTCATACTTTTTGTATTTTTAATAGAGAGAGATTTCATCATATTGGTCAGGCTGGTCTTGAACTCCTGACCTCAGGTGATCCACCCACCTCGGCCTCCCAAAGTGCTGGGATTACAGGTGTGAGCCACTATGCCTGGCCTAGAATTTTATATTTTAAAAAAAAAGAAAAAAAGCAGGACAGAAATGAAAACTCAACTAGAAGGGATATGGCACTATATATACACCATAATTAGAAGATGAGTAGAAGATGAAGAGGAGGAAAAAATTTAAAATTAAGAAGAAATTTGAGATTAGAAGGATTCAAGAGAAACTGTTAGACACAGAATAAAGAAGATATAGCATATATAATCAATAGGAGGCCTCCAAGAAGAAAGACAAAGCGATGGATTAGAAAAAATACTGAATGCTATCGTTCAAGAAAAATTAAAAATACACATGGGAACCCGAAGCTACATAATGAAGATACATATCACATTCTTCAGAAAATTGATGCAGAACAGCTGATATCAAGATACATTCTAATAAAACCATAGATCTCTAAAAAGAAACAGAATATGCTTGGGACATCCAAGCAAAAAGATCAAGTAGCTTATAAGAGAATGAATGTCAGATTTCTTTCAGACTTTTCCATAAGAACACGAGGCTAGTAAACAACAAAGTGACAGAGTTAGAGTGCTCAAATAAATAAATTGCAGATCTTGGACCTTGCATGGAATATGCATGAATTCTACATCCATCTAGCCTAACCTTTAGGTGAAAAGGTTGCTTGGATTTTCTGCTCCTGCACTTCCTTGCTGTATCCCTGCTATCCTTCGCTCTTGGCATCTGAGGATCTTTGCACTGGGTAAATGCAGTTCATTCACAGACTCTAAGAGTGGGTACCAATCTCCAACTAAAACTGTGAAACTTTCAGGTCTATGTAACCAAAAGAGCCTATACTCACCCAAGGCAAGATTGATAACCACATACTGTTATAAATATGCAAGAGCTCAGGTAATATTGTCTCTATGTACGTTTCTTGAGGGATCTACCACAGAGCAAGCTCCAGACAACCAAATACTGTAGAGACATTGGCAAGAGAGCTGGAGAAGTATTCTAACAACTAAGTGAAGATCGATGATGGCCTCTGAATATCACCATTTTGCAACCTTGATTGCAATATCGTCAGTATATGGTAAGATCATAAAATAGAGCAACTAACCCTGATGTGCTTCCTGATGAAAGTACACAACATCACCCACCGAAGACAATCAAACTTAAAGCTGATCAAAATTCTAACACTAATTACCCATTTGCAGAAAACACAAAGGATGGATATGTTAACCACACCATGCAAATGCAATCATTAAAATCAAGACAATGAAAAATACACAAGAAACTTAAAAAGACATAGAAGGGTAATTCATGTTGTAAAAAGGACTTAAGATACATATCAAATAATCATCATATGTGGATCCTGTTTGAACTGCATTTCAAACTTCAAAAATTGTGATAATCAGGAAAATATGAACATTGAAGATTTGATACTATTAAGAAATTACTGTCTTTATTTGTAAGTGTGATCACAATACTGGTTTTAAAATTATTTTTAATAAAATACTTATAGATGAAATAATGCGATGCCTGAGATTTGCTTTAAAATATTTTGGTGACAGGAAGTAAGTGGTGGTACAAATGAAAAAGATTGGCAATATGTTGATAACTCCAGTTGATGCTTAAACAATACAAGTTTGAACTATGCAGGTCTACTTATAGGCAGATTTTATTCCACCTCTACCACCCTTGAGACAGCAAAACCAATCTCTCCTCTTCCTCCTCAGCCTATTCAATGTAAAGATCATGATGAAGACATTTATGATCCACTTGGACTTAACGGATAGTTAATATATTTTCTCTTCCTCATGATTTTCTTAATATTTTCTTTTCTCTTACTTTATTGTAGGAATACAGTATATAATACACATAGAAAATGTGTGTTGATGTTTATGTTATCGATAAGGCTTCCAGTCAACTATAGGCTATTAGTGAAGTGGAGAGTCAAAAATTATATGCAGATTTTCAACTACATTCAACTACTACAAACTGCATTTCAACTCCCAACCCTCACTGTTCAAGGATCAACTGTACTTAACCTGAGTGAAGGGTATAGTGGATGCATTACTTTATTTTTTCTCCTTTTGTATATGTTTGGAATTTTCAATACTAAAAAGTGGTTTTTAAAGGCATAAGAAGGTTTACATGCACATATATTTTGGTGCTTCAGGCTTTCATTGTGTCCTAGGAGAAACCCCCTCATGAACACTGTTGGGCACATAGAGAAACTGACAAAAAAGAATGTATGTAGACCTTTAAAGTAGCAAACCCATTCTCCACCTGAGTTTCCACCACATTCCACCTCACGCTTCTTCATATTGCAATTGAGCAGAGTGACTTTATGAGGACTAAAATTGCACTGACTTCTCAAAGTGAGCATTTACAAATATGGGTACTCTTAAGCAGTTAACGTTGGACTTTAACTCATAAGCCCCCGAGGTAATTGTTTCTTGTGCTTGCTTGCATATGGTGGCTTGCAGAAAAGAACAACCCTGGAGTTTGAATTATAAACTATCATCACTCATCTCTTTCTTATTCTCCATGTTTTCTTTCTAGATATTTCCACACAATATACTTAGGTATTCGAAGTCGACAGAGTGGGGAGAATGACAGATGGAGGTTTTACTGGAAAATGGTATATGAGTATGCGGATGTGAGTATGCTGCATTTGCTAGCCACCTTTCTGGAAAGTGCTCCACAGCTGGTCCTGCAGCTCTGCATTATCGTACAGACTCATAGCTTACAGGCCCTCCAAGGTAAGGGCTTGCAATTTGGTTTTGGAATTTGGGGAAAGTTTGACTGGCTACTTTTGTCACAATCTGAGCAACTGTCCTAATGCCCTTTGTTGACATAGACCTGTGATATGTCTGCTGTTTTACATGTGTTTTGTGAATGATGCATGATGTTTTCCTACCATTGCTTCTCATGACTGATTAATTGAAAGACAGGGCATTTTTGCTCTCCAGCTGTCCTCTTAGTAGGAAAAAAAATCTTTACGATTTAACACTTCGTCGATACGGGGATAAAGTCAGTCAACTGAGGCTTTCTGGTTCTTATAATGGAATAATTTCCAAAAGTTGCAAAGAAAGCAGTAGCGCTCCCTCTCTCTCTAATATACATATGTGTGTACGTATGTGTGTGTGTATATATAGTATTAGAGTAATTCCTACTATTTCCTTTTGATGTTAAGAGAGACAGAGAGAGAGAGAGAGAGAGACAATGAGAAAAAGAGATTAAAAGGAAGTGGTAGAGATTACCCTAATATTTAAGGAAAGAAGGTCATATGGGAAAAAAAGTTGTCAATGTTTATTAATATTTATATACTATGATGTTTTATAAAATGGATATTATTATCAGATTAATATCTTTGTGCTCTCCCATATTTGATGATCTCATCAGTAGGACTATTCCAGTTACAGCAGAGCTTCCAGGCCTTTCCTTAGAGCCTGCTGCTCAAATCCTTTCTAGAATAAGTTAGCAAGATTAGACAGACTGGTGGGTAGGCAGATGAATACATGGGCACATGGATGATGGATAAGAGAGCATTTTCTAAGGAAAACATTTCCTATTAATTTGTCAATCCTGTAACTAAATAGACGCTGTTAAACAGTTAAGTACTGTAAGGTGCTCGTTTTGTTTGGATCTCAGCAGGGCCTCTGTGCGCCCCTCTGGGCACATGCTGCTCCCTTGTGCAAGATGGGTCATGCTCCAACTTGAGTTTTGTTCTGGTTGGTCTGGGGAATCTCCTCACTGTCCTTATAACTTTTTATGGCATGGAGCATGTTAGTTTAAGCTGAGTGATTTAGTTTGGGGGGACAGAATCAGGGCGCATGTTACCCGTATAGGAAAAGAAAGAGAAAATGTGTACTGGTAGCTGGTGACCCATTTATTCATAGATTCCTGGCCCAACCCTGGTTTCACAATAGAATAGCTTTGGTCCAAGAAGTTTGAGAAGAATGTCAAAGAGATCCACGATGTATGTTTCTCAACTGCTGGAAAGCAAATTGGGAGAAGAGGAAAGTGGAGTATTTGCACAGAAAAAGAGAAAAGCACGGAGAAGGCAGAAGGCCGTGTGAATTAGTTGTGGATGACTGTGTTTCGTGGTGTCTGGTGGTTGAAGACCACGAGCTAGGCATGCGGAGGCCTGGGCTCTGGTTGTCTCACTACCTCACTATAAAACCTCGCACAGCCACTTAATCTCTCTGGGCCCCAGGTTGCTTAAATGTAAAGGTCACAAGTTATACTGGATGATTTCCAAACTCCCTGACAACTCTATTCAATCTTTGAATCGATGAATTCCCAATAGGCATATAATGCCAGGTATATGCTTTAGGAAATGATCTGTAAGCCAGAATACAAATGAAATTGAAAGGCAACATCAAACTAAATCTCTGTCAAAGAATTTAGTGCTCATTTCCAGAACAACTTGGCAACTCCTTAGTACAATTATACAGCTGGGAACTCTGTAGAGGGGGAAAATTCAGGAGCACATGTGCAAGGTTGCAAGTCACCTTCTGATGGCCTGAGGTCACTGAGTGTCTCTACTAGTTTTCTAAAATATTTCGAAAATTATGGAGAGGATTTTCTTACAAAGATGGTGGAGATAGAGAAGGGAAGGTGAGAGAGGGATCTAAGAAAATGAGGTCACATTTTCAGTTTAAGAACAATGCATAAAATTGTACAGAAAAAAAAATGTGGAAAATGCAATCCTTAGTTTTAATCAGATTATTCATCCTAAACATAGCAGCCAAGTGTTGAGTTATGTTTTCTGAGTCTCTGGCTCTTTCCTGACATCTAGTGTCCCCAGCTAACCGACTAAGCTTGACACAAGTATGTCAGGTGTACTGTAGGCGCTGAATGCCAGACCTCGACCTTAGCCAAGGCAAGCCTTGCCGTCAAGTTTCAGAATGGCGTAGGGAAACTATGTTCTGTTTTACTCCCAAGGTGGTCAAAAGACAGGTTGATCCAAATATCACTAAGGATCAATGCAAGTCATTGAGTCAAGAGGAGGAATAAGCCCACTACCTTGATCTTATTGCTACTGATTTTTGACAAGGGAGGTGGGTAGACAGTTGTGTTACAAAACAAAGAGTGAAAATATCTGACAGTAAAATACAACGACAAACCCTCCAGCCAAGGAAGACCAGCCCGTGAAACACCATGTGATTCCTTTTGCATTTTGAAGAGAAACCTGTCTTCAGAGGGATGGCTTCTAAATCCCCCTCTGCTGATAGATGATCCCACTTACAAACAAACCAGCTGATAAATTAAATTGATGTGAGTTCTAAGAACAGAGCAGTTTCCCTTTAGGAAAAGAAAAATAAATGTAATAACCTAGTTTGACATGTATTTTCCAACATCTTCAATGGTTAAAAAAAATTATTGGGATTTACATGTGAAAACGCAGCCCTCTGCTCTGAATGTAAATAATCAATAGGCATGAAATCTGTAAAGGATTTGTAGATAGCTCTGAATTAAAATCTCTAAACCATTCTTATTTAGCAGGGAGAGAATGATCACTCTGCATGTGACTGTCTAAAATTACTGTTTTTTAGGATAGAAGGAAAATTGCTCTTTAAACCCAACTTCAACCGTCCACCACTCTCTGCAGTGTTTTTAAAACAATAAGAAAAATCGGACAAGAAATATGACATTTTATAACTGATGCTAGAAATTGTATTCTCTTTGTGGAAGCTGGTTAGCCCTAGAACGCTGTCAACTGCTGTGAAAATCTTTCTGCTTCTCCTTCCTTATGGAGTCACTTAGTCAGAGGAGCCTCCTCATGCTGGAGGCTGACAGGCTCAGGGAGAACTGTTGGAGCATAATTGTTCCTCCATTTGCACTGGCCCAGGAGGGACAGTTTGGAGTCTGTTCTGAGAGCAGGAATGAGGGTAAAGCTGAGTCTTGAACCTGAACATCCAGCTCTTCACACTCCACAGTCACCTTGGACATATTATAGGGCAGCAGCTGCTCTCCACGGGATCTGGGATGTCCCAGACCCAGCTCCCTGCGGAGTGTAAGATACACACCAGGAGGCCTGACTGCATGCACGGCTGTACCTGCACAGGGTAGTGCTCTCTGTGCTTCCAGAGAGTTTCCAGTTTACATGCCGTTATGGTTTTCCAGTCCCAATCCCATATCCTCACGAGGAGAGAAGGAGAGAGGAGAGAGGGGTGTTGAGAAGGGGAAAGGAGGGCAGGCAGGAAGGAAAATGGGATGGGGAGAAGGAGGGAGGGAGACCCCACTCGACAGTGGAGATGGACCGTGGCGTTTCTGTTAGTGTCCACGTGGAGGGCGCTGCTCTCTACCTGTTTAGTGAGGGCGACAAAGATGCTAAGGAAGATGTGGTCTGAGGCCTGTCAGTTGTATCTTCAAGCAAAATCTCACACTCATTCATTTCACCTCATTTCTACTCTGCTCCCCCGTCCGGACCACATGCACCCCTACCCAGACCCCTGTGGCTGGCCCACAGCTTCATCCTCACCCCTGCCCTCTTCATTCCCTTCTCCTTGGAGTGGTCCTAGAGCCGCTTAGACTCTAATCTAAACCACTTCAGTGTTCCCCTTGACACTCATTAAAATTAAACAAGATTCCTGAGCAAGTTCCAAGACCTTTGTGTCACAGCCTTCTCCTCATTAGTCACTGCTCTGTAACCACGCTGCACTCCTCTCTCTTCTGAAAATGTTCCCATTTCTCTCCCACCTCCAGGCCTTTGCACCTATTATTAACCTCTCCAGAATATTCTCGTCCCCTCTCTCTTAGCCTGTCTAGTTCTTACTCATCCTACAGAATTCAGCTTCACCTCTTCAGCGTATCCAGTCCTAACTGCTCATTCACATTTTTATTTCCGCATTAGTATTTCCTCAAGGTATCCTGAACTTCAGCCCCTGACCTCAGGTAATTTCCTTATTGTTGTTAATCTTCAATTTGCCCATGAATACTGAGGGATAGTAATAGTGCTAATTCATAGGATTGTCGAGATTAAATGAGAGAGTACACACAAAGGATTCGGCAGACCCTCGGCCCAGCGCATAGGGCTTCTTCGACTTGATCTTGCAGAAATCTACCAGGGAATCTTATGGAAACGCAAATTCTCACTGAATAGGTCTCAGGTGTGGCCTGAGTTTTAGAACAGGAAAGTTTTAGAATCAGGTGAAGAATTTGATGGCATGTGAAAACGGGAAAAATAGTTCAAATTTGAGCTCATGAACCCTGAATTAAGGGGTGTGTGTTAGAAAGGAAGTGCAAGAAACATTGTGAAGAGAGAACGGTCAGGTCTTTTGAGGGACAGAGCATGGACTAAAAGAGACCAAAGCTTGAGTCCATTTGACTGAGAGAGAACCTGGTGACAATAAAACCAAGCAGGTCAGCAGGAGCAGCCACTTAGGGGGAGAGCATTTTAGACATTTTAAGCCTGAAATGGTGGAGGACAATCAAGTTAAAAAGTCTTCAGACTGCAAAAAACAAAGACAGCTTAAGATAAGTTACCCAGAATTTCAGACCTCTATGTCTGTCTAAATGACGCCAGCAAAGGTAAAAAGTTCATGGTCCGAGTTACCTCATCGGGACTTTTTGATGACCCCAAGAACCTGTAAAATGCGCAGTCAGTTTTAGTTTTGTGATTGTCGTATTATGAATAGTTTATTTTGGTTGCAAAGACCCATGATTGGCAGAGAAGATACCAATTCACGTACAGACAGCTGCACACAGCCTTCCTCAGCAATACAGTTTTGCTCAGAGTTCCCTGGGGTCAAAG